TAAAAGGTAGGATAATGAGGCGAAAGATACTGTGGAGCGGAGAACTGAGAAAACCTGGTCTCCTGTAAACATACCACGTCGATTTATTGCGATTTGAGGTGATGAAAAAAACTTTAGCCTGCTTCTGAAGAGGTGAGGCCATGGCGGTATCAGCACAGCACGTTCAGCAGAAAAAGCATAGGTCAGCCAACAATTTCCACTCCCAATGGCGTTCGGACCATGGTGTCCCGAAACCCTGCAAACAAAACAAAAAAAACAGAGAAGAAAAGAAAACAAGAAAGGAAAAAAGGGAAATGACACAAGAAGTATATACAACAGTACAAACGTGTCATGCCAATGGTGACATGCATCCTCCTACACTTGAAGGATACCAGTTGGGGGTAGCTCTACCACTGGACACATGGCTGCAAATGGAAACATCAAAAACATGAGCCCTCAGAGGACAAAAAGGCAATAAACACAATATAACGGGGTACCAAAGTAATAAAATATGAGTCCCAGAAGTGAGAACATCCATGGTAGCCTCCCCATAGAAACCCAGCTAAACTTGGGGGCCAACCCCCTCCAGGAAGGGCCCACACAGACCAAGTGGTCTCCCACCCACCTCCCAGTAGGACTGACACCCAACCCGGGCCCACCAGGCCAACCTCCCACCCCGGGGCCCAAGGGAACCATCACCTCATCCCACCAACGGGAACCCGAACAACATTACTCGGACCCGTGGTAGGCCAAAACAGCAGAAAGTCAAAATCCGCAAGTTCAGGAGGAGACCCTCCCTCCCCCTACTCAGGGATGGAAGCCAAGGGAACAGGGCGAATCGGGTCCAACCTGGAACGCTAACAAACTGGAAAATCCCTAAGGGCCAAACTCACAGTCCCATCAGGAAAGTCCAACGGTGAAACACAACGCGGGAGATCCAAGATACATCTTCAGCCCGGAGAAGAGCAGGACAGACTTGATCGTAGATGGGTCTGAGGGACAGCTCTCTTCCTGTTGGACGACGACCGCTCCCAGAGACGGCCCTGGTGAAGCGGCTTTGCCGGGGATCCGAATCAATGAGCTGGGCTCTGAGTAGCGGCTTCCGGAGAAAGAAGGTGCAAAGATTCCAGGAGAGAGTGGGCCTCCTCCGGCGTGGAAACCGAGTGACTGCGGCTCCGGTAGTTGAAGGTGAGGCGGAACGGAAAGCCCCAGGCGTATTTAATTCTGCGGTTCACCAGGACCGAAGTGAAGGGCTTCAACTGGCGGCGCTTCTGAAGAGTGGTCTGGGAGAGGTCCGTGAAGAGCTGGTAGCTATGCCCCTGGAATCTGAGGTCTGGCTTGTTTCTGGCCACCAAGAGGATAGTTTCCTTAGTGCGGTAGTAAGTGAACTTGATGATAATGTCCCTCGGGTGCCCATCTGGTCGCCTGGGGCCCAATGCACGGTGAATGTGGTCAAATTCGAGCCGGTCAATGGGAATGGCGGGCGTCAGCTCCTGAAACAGAGCAGTAGCGGTGGAGGTGAGATCTGTGATACCCCTTAACCGCAAATTGCAACGGCAGGAACGGTTTTCTAAATCCTCAAGCTGGAGCAGCACGTCCGCTAATTCTTTCGTGAGGTCACACAAGTCCTGCTCGTGACTTTCAATGACCGTGGTCGCAGCATTCATTTTATCCTTGAGATCCTTCGTCCGATTTCCCAACTCCCGAATTTCTCACGAAAGACGGCCAGTTTGCAGGTAGCGGAAGACAATTCCGACTGCAGCATGGACTTGAAGCGGCGCAGGAGCACAGCATCCCTCAGACCTGGGGTGTAAGACCACAGGGATGCTTCTGATGCCAGTTCATCTTCACCTCTGAGATCCGGCCCACCCACGGGTAGCGGCGGCGGTTGACCCGAAATCGAAGCCGGTGGCTTCAATTGCGGCCTGCGGCGGAAGACGCGATCCCGTGGCCGGGGCTCTGGAACTCTTGCGGCAGACCCAAAATCAAGGCCGCGGCTTCATTTGCGGCCTCTGGCGGGTAGCCCGCGAAATCTGGACCGGCCTGCCGGGCACTGGAGGAGTGGGAGGCTGCTGTTTTTTTTTGGCCATCGAGGCACAGGGGGCCAGGAGAGGTTGGAGGGAAGGCCAAACCCCCCCCCCGGGCTAAAAATCGGTCGATGTGCCAGTGGCCAAGCAGCAGGCTTAAATAGCAGCCATTCTTGAAGCTGCTCACGAGCGCCCCCCATTTCATACTTTTAAAAAGAAAAACACGTAGGCCTCATGCACACTAGGCTCTACTGAAAGCCTTTCTCCTGACAGGAAAAAGCAGTGTTAAAAACTGTCCTAAAGCTGCCTTTTTCAAATGTGTTTAAGTGTATTTAGACGCAGTCAGGTACGTCAAATATTTAGGTGTTTAATTATTTCATATTATCCAAGATTAATTTATTCTGGCCACTGTAATTAATGAATTAGGATGCATTTACATGTCTTTAGGCATGTCATCATTTTTTTTTCTAACCAAATGCTCCTTTCCTGAACATGATTTTTGGTGTGTTTAGATTTCTGCCCCTAAACGCCCTTGTCTCTAAACTCTAAACGCCCGTGTGCTCATAGGCTAACAAAGCATTTAGGGGCAGAAAAACAAGCCAAACGACTAAAAAAACGGGTGTTTGACAGCTACAGTGTGCATGAGGCCCTACAGATTTCTAATTATTATTATAATTATACAGGATTTATATAGCGCCAACTAGGGGCGGACTGACCATTTGGAAACTTGGGCACTGCCCGAGGGCCCGGGGTCAGTAGGGGGCCCCATGAGATGCCCCTGGTACCTTTTTCATAGGCTTTTTTGAGTTTGGGCAAGGACACAGGGGCCCCATGATCCCCTATTGCCCGGGGGCCCCATGAGTTGTCAGTCTTCCCCTGGCGCCAACAGTTTGTGCAGCACTTTACAAAAAGAAGGTAGACATTACAGTTACAATATAATTTGGTACAAGAGGAAGCAGAGGGCCCTGCTTGTTAGAGCTTACAATCCAGGAGGAAGGGTTGAGTGATACAAAAGGTAATAGTCGTGGGGAGCTGAGCTGATGGAGGAAATAAATGGCGATTTACTAGGTAGAAGCAGGATAAACTTCTTTAAAGAGAAACGTTTTCAGGGATCGTCTAAAGGTGGATAGATTAGGAGACAGCCGGAGAGGTTGGGGTAGAGAGTTCCATAGGATGGGAGAAGCTTGGGAGAAGTCCTGGAGGCGAGCATGGGAGGAGGTGACACGGAAACTAGAGAGCAGAAAGTCTTGGGAGGATCGAAGAGAGCGGTTTAGTTGATATTTTGAGACCAGGTTGGTGATATAGCTGGGAGTACACCACCAGCACCACTTATGAATTATGTTTACATTTCATTCTCCTAGCTTAATGTATTTCTGTTTAAAAATTATACACATTAGAGAATATTGCTCTTTTAACACATCTCTTTGAGGCCTCACCTATAGATAGATTTTGTAGCTATCTGCATGTCATCTGCATTGTGGCTGCAAAGCAGCAAAATGCTATTGCATTGGTTTTTTTTTTTTTATATATTCTTTATTTACATTTTCAAATATGCATAGAAAGGATGGGGTCAACGGAGAAAACAGGAATGGGGTACAAAACACCTAAGGTGGGTATAGGAATGGAGTAACAAACGTGGGGATGATATTGTTAAATAATGTCTGACATTTAGCAAAAAAACATAGTATAGATGCCAAGGTACATTCTGTCAGATGTTAATGTAATAATTAGTCACACTACTAATCTAAAACAGAACTTATGTTGATTGATAGTTGGCAATATCCTTTGCTAGTTAGATTAGGGCTAATTATGGATCCATGAGTGTTGCCTTGATTTTTTAATGATAAACAATTCTTAAACACCCTACGTGTATCCCTTTTTTGTTTCTTTTTTCTTTTTGCATTTCCCCTTATTCTTTTATTACTTTTCTACCTCTTTACTATCCTAATGCCCTTCTCTTATGCACTACTAGTGATCTGGAAACTGGCCTGGATTCAGTTTGTGGGAATTTGTGAACCCAGCTTGAAATTCGCAAAAGCTGTACATAGCCCCCCAAAAAATTGCACGGGTAGCTGGGGGACATTCCCATGGGGGACAATGCACAATTTGTTTAAAAAACACCTTTCAGCAAGTCTTTTAATAAGGTTTAAAGGTCAACTTTACAGTTCCTTTAAATACCATGCCTGGGGGATGCCTTATACCTGCACATGAAGCGGTGCAACTGTACAATGGACTTCTGCAAAAGTGATATTTAGAAAATAAATTATCTACTGCATAAGGGCCTGGTATGGATTTTGAAGTAGGCTCCACGCGTTCTTTTTTTTATTTAAAGAGACAGTTTCACTGTCCCTGTCTCTGCAACTCACTGTTGTGTGTACCTAGCAGGGTAATGTTGGGTTAGGTTTTTTCAGTTTGATACTGAGGATGTGAGTGGCCATTTTGTGTGGGGAGTTTTAGATTCTCCTTTTATGCTGGATTTGCCTTATACCATATGCATTTTTAAGTTGACCACATGTGGGAATCCTTCTTGAGCTATACAGGGAAATGTTACCAATTTAATATTTCTTAGTTTTGTTCTTTATTATTTGAATAAAAGCTTGATTTTACAAATAAACATTTTATACAATTTTACGAAGCAAGCCCAGCATTAGCTCTCTACACAATGCTTCTGCAGAATTTCATATCCTCCTTTTTCTGTTAAGATTATGAGAGACAGCTTTATCCCTATTCTCACTCATTCTGCTATGTGTTTTATAATATGTAACACTGTTAGATCTAGCCATTATACAAGCTATTCGGATTTATTCCAAGCGTAGCAGGAAGCCAACATTCTGTGACCTTTTCTTGTACTTCTTGATGGTTACAGTTAATAAATATAAAATACTGTATGTATTACTTTACAAAAAGAAAAAATCAATAATTTAATTTTTTTTAATCCAGAATATAGTATACACAGAAAATGTATACAAAACACTGTACAAAGAAAACACTTACCCTGATTGTGTTCAAAAACTCGTCAAAATTGATAGTTCCATTTCCATTTCTGTCAAATCTCTGAAAAATGTCTTGCACTTCTTCTGGGAGCAGGGGAACTCCATAGTTCTGCAGCCCTTTAGAGAATTCTTCTAGGTCCAAAGAGTTACTATAGTTATCATCCATTATTCGGAAAGCCCTGTATTATATTAGAAAGCAAAATTTGATGTATTTTCAGTTAAGGGTTCTTTAAAGCTAAAAGGTAAGGAATAAGTTATAAGTTCAGCAACTACCCATTATTAGGAATTTCTGGGTTCAATTTGCAAACTGTTTAGCAAATCTTGTTCGAAGTAATACAATTTTGAGGCAAACCCTATTAAATTCTATGGGGGAAGGGGGGGGGTGTGTGTTGATAAATTCTGTCAATATGTAGGGCTAGTTAGAAAGATGTTGCCCAACCAAAGGCAATGTGTTCTGTGCTAATGGCAAAAAAAAACAAACTAACAGTATTTTCCTATAGAAAACTGTTTGCTCTCACAGCTCCAAACACACACGGACAATATATTCTGCTAGGAGCCCAACTTTTTATAGAAAGAGGGCTGGGTTATGCATTCTTTCAAATTATTGGCTATTGTGACTCAGCTGACAATGGCAAAAGCTATACATTGCACTTATAGTTTCTGGCAATAAATCTTTGAACTTTTTGGTCTAGGAATTTGCCATGAACCCATGGTAGCACTCAACCCAAACTATCCATCTCTCCTATGAGATATATAACACTTAATGAAATGCAATTTAATGCTATTTGTCAAATAGGAGCATATTTGAAAAACAGAGCAAATCTAGACACATTCTTGTGCATAGATTAGTTTATTCTCATTTTGGCACCTATAACATTGTGCAATGCCAGGTAGAGGGGGGGCCATTGTCAGGAAGGTAGAATTAGATGCAAATTAATGAATATAATAGCAAATGTGGTTTTGTTATGTGGCAAATCAGTAATTTGCCACTATATAAATATATCCTATAGTTCTATTGCTGTTATTCATTTCTATATTTAAGGCATATTAGGTTTAAAGCTTTAAGTGAAACTGCAGACCAGACCTTATTCAAGACTTGGATAGATTAGAGAAGGATTACAATCTTTTGGCAATTTTTATTGCTGTGCCCCATTTTGGGCTCCCATTCTCATTTTCTGTCCTGGTGAAAATTGATTCCAGGATAGATAGTGAAGGAAAATCTAACATTTTACAGTTGTGACAGGAACAGTTGTAGAAGGGAAATCTTCCAATGTGGACACCTGTTTCTGCGACAACTGTCAAAGGTGGGCCTTTCCTTCTATTTTGAAGAGATTTTCTCATACTTGTTTCTCCTGGACAGGAGGTATGACACTATTTCCACAATGGGAACAAAGACAAAAATAAAAACTTGTCATAGGTTCTAAATGAGGACATTGCATCCAAACGGGCAAAAACTATTTTGAGCTAGAGTTCTTCATAAAGTTTTATTAGGTCACATTCTTGAATTCTTTTTACTGGTCCTAAACACCAGTAACCTGGTGTTTTTGAACACCCCTTTCCTCTCCCTGATCACAACCTCATCACTTTCACAGTATCCTTGTCTTCAACCACCTATCTCTCAATTCAACCACCTATCTCAATTCAACCACCTATCTCTTCGATTACCTGTAGAAACCATCTACACTTCAATCCATCTCTTTTCTACTCTGCAGCTGACCACCTCTATGACAAAATCTTTCCCCTCTCCTGTCCTAACCAGGCCACTTGCTCACTACACAACGTATCAACCGCGGCCATTACAACCTTGGCAGACTGATGACACCAGATATCTTAAGAGACACAGACATGCACTAGAGCGATTGTGGCATAAAACCAAATCCCAGCAAGCATTTACTCTATATAAATCTGCCCTCTTAAAATACAATTCCCCCCTCCATGCTGTCAAACAAGCCTACTTTGTCACTCTCATTTATACTTTGTTATCCAGTCGTCATCATCTTTTCTCTACTTTTAGCTCTCTACTTTCTCCACCACCACCTCCACGCAGTAACTCACTCACTGCTCACAAGATTGGCAATCACTTCAAAAACAAAACTGATGCAATTTGCAGGGACATCTCCACTGCACAGATATCTATGCCATTCAACATACAGTATGTTGTACAATACCACCCTCACTATTTTCTTCTTTTGACTTTACTACTACTGACGAGGTCGCTAAAGTTTTCTCCGAAGCTCACCTTACCACCTGTCCACTGGACCCCGTTCCCTCACAACTACTACGGTCACCCTCTTCTTCTATGCAATGCTCACTAACTCACATCTTGAATCTCTTTCTCTCCACTGGCACCTTCCCTTCCCCTCTAAAACATACACTGATCACCCCCATACCTTAAATGCCCTCAATGAACCCCACCAGCCTGAAGAACTTAAGACCCATTTCATTGCTCCCATTCACCTCTAAACTTTTTGAATGCTTAGTCTACAATCGCCTGAGCTCCTACCTCACTGACAACAACCATCTTGACCTCTTACAGTCTGGCTTTCACTTACTCCACTGAAACAACTCTACTAAAACTCACTAGCGGATTACTAGCTGCTAAAACCAATGACCCCTACTCCATACTCACACTACAAGACTTCTCTGAGGCCTTTGATACTGTTGACTACTCCCTCCTAAAAAAAACTCCACTCTCTTGGCCTTGAAGACTCTGCTCTCTCCTGGTTTTCCTCCTACCTATCACAGCTCTCCTTCCATGTTACCTATAACTCTGTTTCCTCCTTTCCACTTCCTCTTTCTGTAGGGGTCTCCCAAGGTTCTGTCCTCGGACCCCTCCTCTTCTCCATACACGTCCTACCTTGATCACTTGATAAACTCTAATGGCTTACAGTACCATCTCTATGCTGATGACACTCAAATTTATCTCTCTACTCCTTGCCTCACTCCTTCAGTCCCCTCCTGCATTACAAATTTATTAACTGACATATCAGCCTGGTTGTCACACTGCTTTCTTGTACTCAATCTTTCTAAAACTAAGCTCATAATATTTCCTCCTACCCGTGCTCCATCCCCTGACTTCTTCATCAAGATCGACAATACAACTTTTAATCCCTCCCCTCATGCCAGGGTACTTGGTGTAATCCAGGACTCTGACCTGTCCTTTCAGCTCCAAATCCAATCGCTGTCCACACCTTGTAGACTTCACCTCCGTTACGTCTCCAAAATACACAGCTTTTTAACCATTGAAACCACTAAGCAACTTATTCACTCCCTGGTTATCTCTCAACTTGACTACTGTAACTCCCTCCTCACAGGCCTACTTCTTTGCAGGCTACCCCGCTTTAGTCTATCATGGATGCTGCTGCCAGACTCATCCACCTTACCAATCGTTCAGTGTCCGCCACCCTTCTCTACCAATCCCTCTACTGGCTTCCCATTGCCCAATGAATAAACTTCAAAACATTAACAATAACATACAAAGCCATTTACAACCAATTTTGTCTCCAGATATTACCTAAACAGCCCTCTCTTCTCCATCCAAGACTGCTTGCTCTCTAGTTCCCTTTGTCTCCTCCTCCCATGCTTGTCTACAGGACTTCTCCAGAGTCTCTCCCATCCTCTGGAATTTCCTACCCCATTCTTTCCAGCTATCTCCTACTCCATTAACTTTTATGTGATCTGTGAAAACTCATCTCTTCAGGGAAGCCTATCCTGCCTTCAGCTAATAATGGAATCTTTTTTTTTTCTCCCATCAGTTCATCCCCCACAGTGATTACCATTTGTTCCACCAGCCCCTCCCTAATAGAATGTCAGCTCTTAGGGCCCTCCTAACCCTTTTTGTTTTGAATTTATATTGTTGCTGTATTGTCTCACTTTATATTGTAAAGCACTGCACAAACTGTTGGCGATATATAAATCCTGTATAATAATAATAATAATAACAATCTAATACCAAGCCTGCCATTTTACAACTCTCTCCACTGGATACTAGCTGCAGTCTGATTATGTAGATCATTCAGAAAGAAATCATTCACATTGCTGTCCTATTCCCACTGCAGATTACAAAAAGAATGGCATGTAGAACAACTGAAAATTCAGAGAGAGATAGTTTGCAGGACACAGAATGATTGCCAAGACACTGAAGCTCCATACAGGCAATGTTGGAGTCCTGGTAAATTCTGTTTTGTACACTGTGTGCGTGTCCTGGATAACAGCAAGATTTTTAAGCTAATAACATTGTGTAAAAATTTGTAAGGTGTCTAATATACAGTATCTATATAGTTTCACACTGATTTTGATATATTTTGGATACATAAAGTTTTATCTCCTGTTAAAAAGCAAAAAAATATTTATTTTTTTGTTTGTTTTTACCAATGCAGCTGTTCGCAAAGCACAATTCCAGAAATGTACCATACAATATTATCAACTGCCTTCTGTCTGGATATCAAAATTAGTGATTTTTATGTAACATAGTAAAGTGCTAAAGTCCAAAGCAAATGTTCAACTTGATGTTTTCCATTTTGACATTTTAGGTTCAGGTAATTCAATATTTCTTGTACAGTATTTTCTTATTTAAAAAGATTCAGTTCTTACCTGTGAGGAAAACTTTATCACCCCCACACACAAGTATTTGCAATTTCTGTGATCAAGGGTTATTGATCTGCTGGTAAATAGTCATCCGACCAGTGACATCATTTTACAACAAAGATTTATTCTTGCTGTTTACAATGGGCTTTTAATTTAATCTTGCACTTATTTGGCATTAAAGTCAAGTTTCAGTTTTGGCCCTAAACAGATCCAAGTGCATTCTAGAAGTTTTGTGATCAAAAAAATGCATGCATATTTAGATAATGATCCTATCTGCATGATGATGGTGTAGTCTGGAGCCCTTTTTGTAACTGAACAAGGGTCCAATATGAGAGAAGACACATACATTGATATCAAAACACAGATTTAAAGGGCTGCACAGGGACCCATAAGACAATGGGATTGATTTACTAAATGCAAAGACTTTGCACTTTGTAAGTGCAGTTGCATTCTACAAAGTGCGGTTGCTCCAGAGCTTAGTAAATGAGGCAAAGCTCGTCTGACTTTCATCATCCATTCATGTGCAAGCAAAAATGCAGTTTTTTTATTTGTCTTGCATATGAATGGGTATTCTTTGCAAAGTAAAGCCTCAACTCATTTACTATGCTCTGGAGCAACTGCACTTTGCAGAGTGACACTGCACTTGCAAAATGCACAGTCTTCAGTAAATCAACCCCAATGACCTGGTCATCACAATTGTTACCTTTGGCTAGCTCTGAATCATTTTGAATATAGAAAGCAGTAACAGGATAAAATGTCTCTCTGTGCTTTTTTATTAAATGCCCTATCACCAAAAGTAAGCAATTTTCAAAATACACGGGCAGGAAGAAACAGTTGGAAAGATAATAAATATTAAAGCAGAGCTCCATTCAAAAGGAGAAGCTCCACTTGCATGCCTCATCCCCCCCTCCGGTATCACATTTGACTTCCTTTGGGGGGTAGCGGGTACCTGGTTTTGACAGGTATCTGCTCCCACTTCTGGCTAAGTTTGCTGTGGCAAACTGCCCTGGAAGTTCGCTCCCCCCTTCCTTCCCCCACAGCCTTCTGGGACAATTCACAGGACTCAGAGGACTGCAGACCAATCACATTCACGCATTTGCAGTAGGAAATCTGCTGTGAAGCAGCAAGGCTTCACTGCTGGTTTCTCTTAGTCAAGATGGCGATTGAAGAATCTGCTCCGGTGCGGACACTACTGGATGCCTGGACAGGCAAGTGCCCTCAGAATGAAAGTCAGCATCTACAGTATTTGTAGCTGCTGACTTTTCATTTTTTTTTTGGGGGGGGGGGCCAACTCCTCTTTAACATGTTTGTAATAAGTTGTCTTGGTCTGTTTACCTTCCTAAGCCTTTAATTCCAGACGCTCCTCTTGCAAGGCACTGCAGTCTTAGCTTCTCCACAGGATCCTGGCATTGTGCAATCTGGCGTCGTGCCTTGGTCATCATTTCTTGTTCCAGCTGGGATACTGAAGCCATGACTTTGCAAAAGCAAGATGAGTTAAAATGTGTGAACAGTACAGAACTAAACTTTAATCTTAGATAAAGATGAATTTCAGACAAACAGCTAAATAAACACTTGAAATACATTCTGGAGCTGTATTAGGATCTACTAATTTGTCCAGTCAGTCCTAAGATTTACAGTCTTGTCAGGCACAGCCAGTTCGGTCATATCAATTTTTTTTTTATTACTGCAGTTAAAGAGAACCTTCAGTCCGGGAAAAAAATGAAAAAGCAGCAGCTACGAATACTGTAGCTGCTGACATTTAATAAACGTGCACTTACCAGTCCAGGGATCCAGTGCTGTGCTAATGCAGGCTGGTTCTTCGGCGGTCTTTGGGTTCCCAAAGATTACATCTTGGATGTAATAAGTCAGTTGTGACTTCCTCCAGCTTTACAGCCAGCACCCCACTGCCCATGCACAGGTTGCTCTGCACTTTTTGAATGGACCTGCAGCCTCCTGGGACCTGTGACGTGTCCTAGAAGGTTGCGGGCAGGGAGAGGGGGCCGAACTTCCATTCCATTTGTCTAGGCAAGCCAAGCATAAGTGGGAGTTGATACCTACCAGAAATAGGCAGCTGGAGGGTGGTAGAGGATCATGAGGAGGAAAAGCAGAACTCTCCTTTTCAGGTGAAGTTTCGCTTTAAGAAACATGCTGTACAATCTGATTGCCTCAGGGGTACTAATCTTCTTTTCCAGTGTGAGAGCTACTCTACAGGGATATACAAGAGGCTGATTTCAGAAGCTTAAACATTGAACTCAAGGCAAACATATAGGTATGCAAAAAAAATAGGCAAGTAGGAACTGAGTTGCCTGCTAATGGATTGATATTTTACCAATTCAGTCCTGAGATTTAAATAGACTGTGGACACCACCCAGCCCAAAGCTGCTGACTGGACAATGAAAAAGAAGCACCAGTCTGATGAAGTGTGTCGCTCTGTTCGTTCGTCTCTGCTCTCTCCTCCTATTAATTGTTCCTTTTCAATTTACTGGCATACAGCTCACCTGATTGGCTTCTAGCACACCCAATATGAGTGCTGAAAAAGTGCTGAACTCAAATCAAAACAGACACTTAACAATAAGAACATTAATATATATATATAATGATCTATTAATAAATACAGACCTTTAGGGCTCTGTGCACACTACAGTAAAAAAAAAAAACTAGTGCTCTTGGCAAAAAAAACCCAGAAAATATCCTATCGAATACATACCGTAATTTTCCTTTCCTCATGGACTGCATGGCAGCATACGTATGGGTTAGTCCCGCCCTCTCCTATAGGATCCCACTCCCATAAATCTTTGCTTCTCGCCAGAGGCCATGTTCCAAAACTAGCCTACTAGTGGTATTGGGAGGATACTCCTGCTGCCACGGAGTCCATCAGGAAAGGAAATTTTCAGTTTTCCTGACAGACTCCATGGCAGCATACGTATGGGAAGTAACTAGCCATACACACACAGGTGACAGTTGCTCAAAGACTTTATTTTGCCCCATCAACCAACAGGACTTTCAAACCAAAATTAACAGAGAATAAGGAGGCAGGCTGTACACAATAATGAGCCATGAAAATGTTGAGGACCATGAGGCCGTTCTGCAGATCATCTCAGGGGCGACATGCCGAGAAGCCACCCAGGACGTAATCACACTTCTGGTTGAGTGTGCGATCACCGCCTCCGGAGGCACCAAGCCCTTAGTTCTGTATGCTATTTGGATGGCCTGGACAATCCAGGCCGCGATTGACCTGGGAGACGCCCGGTCTCCTTTACTCTTCCCATGGAAAAGGATGAATAGAAGGATAGAAGGATGCTGTGACCTGCATGCATAGCCTTAAGGTCTCACCTACGTCCAAGGGGTGAATGTCATCGACTCCCGAGGCTCTAAATGTTGGCAGGACAATCTTCTGGTTCTCATGGAAGACTGAGGTCACTTTAGGATCAGAATCTAGCATAGGGATGAGGACCACTCGATCCGGTAAGAATTTAAAAAACTGTTTTTTCAGCCAAGGTACCCGATTTAAGAGACTCTTAAGAGACTCTTTTTGCCAATGTAACCACCACCTGAAAGGATTGGTGGTTGCTCCCTCACTATGGGTGGACCAGCTGATTCTGGAACACCTGCAGAGGACAAGCGGAAGGTCCCATTTTGGGAACCATGGTTTCTTCTGGGGCCTCAACCTTACTACCCCTTTGAAGAATTGCTGAACCTGAGAGTGGTCGACCATGATACTCCAGTGAAGGCCGAGACAGCTGACACTTGAACTCTAAGGGTGCTGACCAAGGGCAAGTCCAGGCCTGACTGCAGGAATCCCAGGATATCCTGAACCCTCAGATTACTAAAGGATCTGCCCGCGGTCGCGATATAGTCCACAAACTTACACCAGACTCTTCCATAGACCCTAATGGAACTTGGTCTTCTGGCATTCATCAGGGTAGCGATGACTTCAGCAGGACACCCTAAAGCCTCCAACCTCCCCCTGTCAAGAACCAGACCATTAGATGAAGTCGGGCTCGGCAAGGGTAAAGAATAGCCCCCTGCAACAGCAGATTGAGAGGGAGAGGAACCGGATCCCAAAAGCTGAGCTGCGCCAGTAACGGAAAACATGGTCTTTTCACCCACTATGGAATTACGGCCACTACCTCCACTGCTTCTGCTCTAAGCCTCTGAAGAAACCTGAAGATGACAGGGACTGGGAGAAATGAATAAGCCATGCAAAACTTCCACTGATCTGTCAGAGCATCCAACCTGAAGGCCTGGGGACAGTGATTCCTGGTGTAGTGCATCCCCAGTTTGCTGTTGTACAGGGAGGCAAACAGGTCTACTTCCAGACTGATCCCGAGGGTCAGTATCCACTTGAAAACTTCTGTGTTGAGAGGCCACTGTTTGTTGTCCAATTGAACCCTGGATAGAAAGTCTGCTTGTGAGGTTTGGACTCCGGGGACGTATACTGCCGATATGTTGGACAGGTTTCTCTAAGCCCAAGCCATGATTGGCTCTACTTCTTGCAAGAGGGACAGGCTGTGGGTCAACACTGCCGTTATATTGTCAGACCTCAGGAGGACTGCTTTGCCCAGTGTTAGGTGCTGGAAGGCTTGTAGGGCACAGAGCGCCACTCATAACTCCAAAACGTTCGACCCCAACCTGTGTGAAGGAAAACTCCATCTGCCCTGAGCTATCTCTGACTGACAGAGAGCACCGCATCTGACATCCGTAGTGATTGTTACCCAGGAGATGGGTCAATCAAGTGGCAGTTGAGCAGATTCTTCCGCTGCAGCCATCAAGGAAGGCTCTCCTTCATGGATTGAGATATGTAAATGACCTGGCCCAAGCTGCCTGGATTCCACTGTTGAAGAAAGCCCTTCTGGAAGGGTCGCATTCTTCACTGTGCCCACTTCACCATTGGTACTGTGGACACCATGGTGCCAATGATTTTCAGGCATTGGAGGGCCCGAAGGTGTGAGGAAAACAGGGCACGTAGTATTCGGCTCCGGATCTCTTGAATCTTCTCCACGGGCAGGGAGATGGTGGGGCTAATCATGTCGAAATGAGCCCCAAGGAATATTAGAGACTGCGTAGGCTTCAACTCCATATTCAGCAGCCACCCGAACTCGAGAAGGGTCAAGATGACGTGGGTCCTGTGCTGTAGTAGCTGTTCTTTGTCCTGGGATAGTGGGAGTAGGTCATCTAGGTAGTGGTGCAGCCGAGTGCCTCTGGTTCTAATCAGGGCCATGACTGCCGACAAGACTTTTTAAAACACACGAGGCGACGTTGAAAGCCCAAAGGGGAGACACACGAACTGGAGATGCCGATGGTCCACAGCAAACCGGAGGAATCTCTGAAAATCTCTTGTAATGTGCACATGAAAGTAGGCATCTTTCAGATCTATAGACAGGAGTCAGTCGCCTGGTTAAATTGCTTGTTGAAATGTGAACAGAGTCTCCATCTTGAATTTTGGCTGCCTGATAAAGGCGTTTAGATGGGTGAGATCTATGACCGGCCTCCAGGCCCCATTTCTTTTCTGGAGCAAAAAGAAGGCGAGATCATGCCCTGAAATTCCTTGCCCTCCAGAACCGGCATGACAGCACCCTGCACCAGCAGAGAGTCCAGGTAGCACAGCAGGATTTCCCTCCTTTCTCCTGAATGTGGAAGGGCCGTAGGGGTAAACTTGAGATGAGGAAGGCTTTTGAACGCCCAAGCATGCCCTAAAGACACTGTGCTGATGGCCCAGGCATCCCGGATTGAAGCCGCCCAAACATGCCGAAAATGGCGAAGGCATGCCCCCACCTGGCCTGTCTGAGCGGGCCCAATATCAAAAGGACTTTGTGACTTCACAACCTCCAGAGATCGATCCCTTAGAGGATGTCTGAAAAGATGACCGGCTTCTCCTCTAGCTTCTCTTGAATTTGCGACCTGGCTTGTAGAGGCACACAATCCTAGCCCATTCTGAGCCTTGACTTCTGGGCTCAGCCCTCTTCTGGCCTAGCAGACACCTCCTGCCTGTAGCTGCGGGTGCGACTAGTCCCAATTTCCTTCAGAGACTCTTGAACGACCCGTCTGACCAAAGCCTCTACCTGTTGATTGGCACTTTCTCTCTTGCCAGTCAACCGTGCAAAACAGTCACATAATGACCTGTCATCAGAAATCTGAGATTCGCACCCCCAGAAAATGTTCCTACTGGAGCGGCTGGAGAGCCCCTTAACATGATGCCTGGAGGAGGAACAAGAGCTTCTTCTATGAAGCCTGGAGCTGGAAGGAGACCTGTGGTGTCCGGATTTAGAGGAAGAGTGACGGTGCCGAGACCTGGAAGCACCTCCACATTGTGTGCCGTATAGTGCCAATGAGACCTAGAAGGGCTGACAGTGAAAAAAAAAGACACAGAACAGGGCATAGTTAAAAGCTACAGAAAAGTGCCAATGGGGGATAAAGCCGCCCAACTGTACCTACTGCGCAGGGAATAGCCACAAGGAGGCGGTGACACATCCA